GAGATCGATTCGAAAGATGAGGTCTAAAAGCAGAGCCTTTTAGACGTTGTGTGGCTCATGGGAGGCCTAACAATTACGTACTGGCTTGTAAGAATAATACGGCACATATATTCACTTTGGCATAGTAAGACGAAGATGCTGATTTTTGTGGTATATATGACACTGACATGGCCCTTGAGAACTTTGATTCCTATTATGGGATTTTTGTGGATGCTTTCTTGCGATTTTTGGCATTTTTTTAATTAACATTTTTCATATTGGCGTGAATTGTACATGCAAGAATTATTTTTGAAAAAAATATACCTGAAACCTTGGATTTGATCTGTTGTCCGTAAATAGATTTGAGATTCCAAAAGATAATCCACTCATTAATGGCAAAATTAACTGGACCCCAGTTCTGGATCCATCCATTTCGTTTCTGAATAAGTAGGCCCCGTTTGATACTGCTGTAGAAAAATAAATAAATTATTTATATTAAAAAACCAATAACCGTACAAATAACCCGTAAACTAACAGCAAACCCGGTTCATTCATGTTAAATGTTAAATGTTAAATTTTCAATATAATACAATATATTGATATTTCTCTGGTCTTATTTATAGGGCCAAGAGAACACATATTTGGTTCTATGCATAAGGCACTGAGAGAAATTTTTTATATGGATGTACAATTTTACTCTCCATTTATTATTGTGTTGATTTTGTTTATATAAGGTATAATGCATATTAAACAGGAATAAAGTTAAAAAGTTGTTGAATTTTAAATGAGAGTTAATGAAATTTAAAGTTTTATTCGGTCTGTGTAAAACATATTAGAAGTAACTTATAAATAGAACTAGAGCAGTATTGATTAACACTCGCTTAAATCTTTTCATTATTTTTTATTTTCTTTGTTCTCTATTGTTCTGCATGGCAGCATGGGGAACAGGTTAGGATTTATTCAAGAGTGACTTGAAAATAAAACAAAAAAAAAGGGCCATTGGAACCGTCGCTTTTAAAAGTTAAAAGGGTATTAGAGGTTTGGAACAATTGATATTGGGCCAAATTAATTTAAAGTGGTCCAGGAAAAACAATATGGGTCCATAGGATTTTTTTTCAAATTAGATGATGTTGGGCTTCACAAGGTATCCAAAAAATGCCCATAATCCTTAACGTGTGGATGTTGAGTTTGGGATGCCCAAAGAAATTTAAGGAATCAAATAAATTGACAATATTATTTGGAAAATTTCATCACAGAGCTCACACGGCTGGGAATAAAGTTTCAAGTTTCAGCAAAGCATTGCTTTGTGAGATGAAGGGTGTATTTGGATTAGTAATAACAAAACTGATTTTTATTTCGTATGGCTTTTATAAAAATGAGTTAAAGTAAAAGTTAGTTAATGTAATATAATTTATGTTTGGATTGACTTTTATAATAAAGTCAATTTAATAAGTTAAAATTTATTTAGATGATTAATAAAAAAATAAGTTAGATGTAAAATAACTAAAAAGAACATAAATTTTATTAAATAATATATATAAACACATGATAATTTTCAGAGCAATATGAGAATTACAAATTGTTTTGTGTTAAAAATGATGTACTATCTTCGATCCTTAATATACAACCCATATAGAACCGGTAATATGGCTAACCCACCAGTTATGGGTTGGCCCGTGGTTGGTTCAAGGATCGACGGGTCGATCATAAAAGGACCAACTTTTGACGGGCTAATATTTTTTCAACCCAACCCGTCAGGGTGAGTTTGCAGGTTAGGCCCGCCAACCCGCCACTTTTTTTTTTATAAAATTTTTTTTCATGCCTTTTGTTTTCTTTTAATAAAATTTATTCTAATTCTTAAACACCTAAAATAAAATATGCATATAGAAGTTATTACAAATAAAATATGAAATCTAAAGTTCCAAACATTTCAAAATATTACTATAAGTATACATAATACATCATCCTAAATGATTAAATATACATCTCAAATTAAAACATAACATATCTAAATTAATAATGATACAAACATAATGTTACAGATCACTATCAAGTGCTCAACCATGAGCCATCATTTAATGTTGATATAGTTCGAAGAATGATATGAAGATGCGAAATTATTTAGTTAAGCTTCACAAGTGGAATCACTTTTTTTTTGCTCAACTAACTTTGCCACAGGTAAAATTCATAATACAAAGTAAAAAACATATTACATTATAGTAATTTTAAATAATAAGAATGAGATAAAGGACCAAAGGAGTAAATACAATTATATTTGAGGGAGAAAAAAATTTAAAAAAATAAAAATAAAATAAAAACGGGTCGACCCGCCAACCATGCGGGTTAACCCACCATAGGTTTAGTTTTGACTGTTATAGGCTCAAAAAATCCATTTTAAAACGAGCTTGATTTTTATCAACCCACCCTCCACTTTTTGACAGGTTGGCGGGTTGAGCCTGCGGGTTCAAGTCATATTACTGGTTCTAAACCCATATGACTAATTTGAAGAAATTAAGAAAGTTACTAAATTATTTAATTGTAACATATATTATATGATCTATCTAAAATATTTATGTGTATTATTATATCATATACCAATTTATAAGTGAGGCAAATTATTTTGAAAAAAAACTATAAATATAAATATTTTAAAATAATAAGTAGTTTTCTTCACTATCACATCTTCATCGCTTGGTTTGGGGCGCACTGTTCTTCATCGTTTTCTTCAGCTAGAGGACCACGGTTGAAGCCGAAAAAAAGACTGGAGAGGGTGAGAGCTTCTAGTCTTCTTCTCTAGAAGGTGAGCAAGGATACCAGTGATGGGGGCTGGTTCATGCTATGGAACCTTCTTCAAGTACGATTCAGAGAGAGAGGGGAAAGAGAGGCCGCCATATTACTTTGATTCTTCTTCAAGTTCAACAAGCTGGGAAGAGTAGAGAAAGAAGGGGCAAATCTGAGTAAATAAATACACCTAACGGTATATTGGCTCTTGCAACCACCTACTGCTGTTATCATAACCTTTCCCCGCGTCTCAACGTGCCGCTCGTTTCCTTCAAAAACTAGATAGAGAAGAAGCCAATCCAAACAAGTCTTCAACTTAAAACAGGCTTTTAGCGCAGGTTTTGCACTTTTCAAGACACTTTGTCCTGCCCAAACAGTAATCCAAACATAGCCGAAATATCTTGGAGCTTCAATGTAACTAAAGCCAGCGCAACAAAGCAACTCAATGTAGGAGGCAAAATGCGATGGGATTGGACTTTAATGGACATGGCACTTGCACAAAATCTTCAAAGTGGAAAATGCTAAGCCACTTTCTTTTTTTGTGAGTAAGAAGATGGTTGGAAATAGAGGTTGTGAACGCAGAAAGCAAAAGGCACTTAAGGTAGCTAACTTCTGATGACATCTATACTTAAAAAGAATGTTTGTCTCTTCCGCAAATTGGATTTTTAACTTAAGTGCCACACAAACCCATGTCTCTGGGGAATATATGGGAATGGGAAGGAAGAGGAGGGGAACAAGTATTCTTAATGAGCTAAATTTATAGTAAAATAACTTAAGTTTTGGTCGTGTTATTTTTTTTTATGCGAACTTTATATCATTAGGTTTTAATTTACGTTTTGAAGTGGCAAACTGAGTCATTGTCTATATAAGAAAACTTCATTGGTGTAAAGGGGACAAAATGCAATTGTATTATACTTTCATAGGCGAAATATCAGTGCCGGCATGTGATTTCTAGTTAGAACTCTCAACTCTTCTAGAAGCTTGAACTAACAATATTTTACTTTTATCACCCAAAAATTCAAATATGCTTTACACCTGCTTCAATTAGAGGATTTTGTGCGTCAAAAAGAATTTGACAACGATACCATCGAGTGATTCTCTCTGATAGTCATCAGAAATTTAGCTATGGTGCTTATGGACTGAGGTTCCTTGATTTGAATTGTTAACGAGGCCTTACAAGGTATAAGATTTCAATCTATCATAAATTAGATTTCTCATTTCTATTGGAAGCAGACTCCATGTGATAAATTTTAAATTCTTTTTTTGCAAGTGATTCTCACATTTTATTTTTATTAAAATTTTATAAACTTATTTATCCATCTTTTTTAAAAAAAGTGAACCCATTAAAAGTTTCCCAGTTTTTCTTTTATTTTTTTTTTCAACGGGAACAGAGAATTAATGCCTATTTGTCCATTAAAACCACAAGTTAATTCTAAGCAGTTCGAATTTCTACGAATTTCATGTTTTAATCAACATTGACTGATATTTTTAAAATAACGAAAAGTTACAAATATTTTTTATAAACATTATTATATTGTAATTATGAATATAAAAAAAAAGATTAATTTAAGGGACAATAATAAAAAAAAAGTTGAAATTTTGTAAATGCTAAATAAGGAATATTAACAAAAATTTATTGTTATTTGTAAATTCAGACTTGTTAATATTAAATAAAATTATATTACTAAACCTGATCTGTGATTTATAATTTTTAAGTTCTTTTTTTTTTTGTCATTCTCCCTTAATTTAACCAACTTACTCCCTCCGTTCCTTATTATAAGAGACATTTGATGCTTATGGCATGTTCCCATATATAAGAGACACTTAAAAGTTGTCTCTAGTTTTTTGTATTGATTTCCTATTTTACCCCTATTTATTTTGTCTCCTACTCATACTTTCTCTCCCTCCCACTTCTCTTTCTTTTAATAATTTAATTGTTCTCTCTCATACTCTCTCTCCTTATTAATAGGGGTATTGTTGGAAAAAATATTATACTTTTTACACATTAATTGTCCTCAACTAATTTTAACTGTTTTTTTGATCAACGTAATTTAGTTATTTGTCTCTTATAATAAGGAACGGAGGGAGTATTTCGTAAACAAAAACCCAACAACAAAAAACAAATGGCCACGTTTTAGCATGAGGATGTGACACGTAAACCCTGTCGCAAAATCTGAGTCCAACAACAACCCCAGCGTAAAGTGATTACTGATAGCGTTCCCCTTTTGATACGAACCTTGTTCTTTCCCTCTGGTTCCTATCAAATATCATCATCGCTCCCTCCCTCGAGCTTCTCAGCCTCACCTTCTTCTTCCCTCTTCTCTTCATTCTTCCATCCAATCTGCCAATGTCTACCGCCAGAATTCAACCCACGGCATGTGCTCTCTCCTCCACCATCAAACAACACCTCCGCCCCCACCCTTCTCTCTGTTTCAACAGTTGCGCAATTCGTGGACGCGGCACGCTTCGGAGAACCCTTAGGGTTTCTATGTCTTCCGCTCCTTCGTCCAGCCCTCTTGAGATTTGCGTCAAAGCTTCTGTTACTACTCCCAGCAAGCTTGGCGACTGTAATGAATTTTTACCTCTCTTTGCTGTTGTTAATGCTCTCGTCGTTAAAATTCTGTTTGGCTTTCTTAGCTATATTCAATTTATCAGTCTTTTATTCTTTGGTAATTGGGGGAGCGTTGGAGGGAATTGATTGATTACTTTTGGGGGATTCGGGATGCAAATTGAAATTCAAGCTTTTGCTGTAATATTGCGTAGTCCGTAGAATGAATACACGCCACACAAGGTGAAAATATTAAAACAGATGGTTTTGCAAGTAGGATTTAGTGTCTCTTCTTCAGAATGATAGATTTATCTAGTGAAAGGAAATCCGGAATTAGAAATTCATAAAGTCTTTGAGGTGAAATCTGACGTTTGACATCGGCATGTCTCTTCCGCTTTACCTTGAGCTTTTGTAGACTCGAAAGAAGGTGAAAGAAAATATTGGAAGGAAAATTAGAAAGACAAAAGTAAATAGCTTCTCGTAATTTAAACTATTCAACCCCCCTTCCTTCCTTCCTCAGTACCTTGTGCTTTTCTTGGCCATTGTTGTGCTAAATGCTTTAATTGGTACACAAACACACACACACACAAAATTTTTGCAGAAGAAAGTAAATTATTATGTTACGCATCTAAATAGATTTATTCAATAAGACATGCACTATTATTCGGTATAGGACTTTTGTACCCTGCTGAGATTTATCATTACGCAAGAGATAGATTTCTGTTGCGGAACATAACCGTCAATCAGAGGATGGATGAGATAACACACCTGCCTATATTCCCTAATTATGTAGTTAATTGTTTACATATGCTCTGCTTTAAGATACATCTCTGTGTGTGTGTTTTCTCCTCTGTGCTTTAAACAAAGAGTTAACTATAATCACTGATTGGTTGCCCTTAGAATTGCCTCTTCAGGCCCCTTTTGCCAAAGAGTATTGCTGACATTGGAAGAAAAGCATCTACCTTATGACATGAAGTTGGTGGATCTGAGACACAAGCCTGAATGGTGATCTTCTGGTCCATATCTTTTGTCATACAGGACTTTATATTAGCTGATTTCATAAATCTGAATCGCTTACAGAGAACAAAGTGTATCACTTTGATTGTTGCTTTATGTTCCTTGCACTGGTACAGGTTCTTAAAAATCAACCCAGAGGGCAGAGTTCCTGTGATAAACCTCGATGAGAAGTGGGTTACTGATTCAGATGTTATCACACAAGCATTGGAAGAGAAGTTTCCTAGCCCACCATTGGGAACCCCACCTGAAAAGGCATCAGTGTATGTTGATCATTTTGGTGGTTTAGGCATCTTTCTTCTAGATTTAGTACTTGTTAAAGAAAAGTACATTGCTTCGATGTGATATAACACTTTTGTACATTATGGAAAATGGCTTGGAATTCTTGGACAGTCACTTGGTTACACAATCTGGAATCGGTTCACGTAGTTTCCTTCATATCACTGAGCTCTTATTTCATTCATTTCCTTGTTTTCATACATGTTAATCGCCCGGATACCACTGCTCATCTGGGTATGGGCTTTATGTTTATAGTTATGCGTAGTTATATGAGATACTGAATATTCAAGACATTTTCATCCTGGTTTTTGTTGTCCACTAAATTTGAGATTGACAAACAGGTGAACCTTTGGGAGTATAATTTTCCCTTTGATAAGTTTAATTCATCATGCATTCTCTATTTAATATTTAAGCTGTTAATTTTCTTTGTTTTCTATATTGCTTAAGCATACTTTATCATCCCCTTTTGTTCCCCGCCTGAACTTCCATTTTCATTTCTACATCAAGTCATCTACTTTTTGGAGGTTGGATTATGATGTATGTAGAAAAATGGGCTATGCCATTTATTTTAATGCATCTAACTTATGTTGCTTAGAGATGCATTTTCAGAATTGAAGTTTGTTGCATAACCTGGATAATGCATCTGTAGCATGCATGCTTGGCATAGTTTCTAAGTTTGTATTCCAATCTTGTGACTTGCTATGTTAGGTTACCTTGAATTATATGCTTGCATAAGTTATCTTAAATTTTGTCTGTAGTGGCTCGAAGATCTTTTCTACATTCATTGGGTTTCTCAAGAGCAAAGATCCAAATGACGGGACAGAGCAAGCCTTATTAAGTGAGCTAGGCTCTTTGAATGATTACCTCAAAGAAAATGTATGACTTCTTTCTTCTGTCGTCTCATTGCATTATGCTTGCAATTTATATTAGTGTTTTGTTTTGGAGATAAACCTGTTTTATGGCGTAAAGGAGGCATAATGTTTAGTAAGTGGTTTGCAGTAATGTTGTTACCTGCATTTTAGAGTCTGGATTGTCTAGAGGTCTTCATTGTAAAGTTTGAAGATGAGAGAAAACAGGAAGTAAGAGAAGAAAGAAATGGACTAAACAGTTTTATATTATGCCATTCTCTCTTCGAACTCAACAAGAACTTTACAATGAAGAATTCTAGAAGATCCTTGTACCTGTACTTCAATTCCTGTTTTTGAGCTCAAATTTGTGCTTTGACCTTGGTCAGATTTAAGTCAAACAAGGCGCAGAATCCCCTATTCTAATATACCGTGCTGTTTTCTTCCCTTTTTCCCTAGTTCTTGTGAGTGGTAAATTTTTCCAGCGATACTCCTTTTTACTCCTCTGGTCCTTAATGTAGTGGTCTTACATGTAAGATCTATTTTACACATTTATCAATGTTTTTCCAAATTAATCCTATTGATATTCCCCCAATAATAATCAAGTAGGAGAGAGAGGGAGGGAATTAAAAAAGATGCTTAGGGTGTTTTAGAAAGAACATATCATATAATTAATTTAACTAATATCTTTAATTTACTTAAATTAGTTAATTAGATCCTGCATTACGAACTAGAGGAGTATTTTCTTTCTAAGAGATCGGCAAAAGTTGGCCTCATTTGTTATAATCTAAATTCAGCGTCATACTAATGTTTAATTGCTTCTCTCTATGATATTTTACATTTATTTATTTAAAATCAACAACATACAGGTATATTTCTTCCTTCTTTTTGTTTTTTGTTTTAATAAATAATAGACTAATTGACTAATGCTTTTCCCTTTAAAGGGTCCTTTCATCAATGGGAAAGACATATCTGCGGTAGACTTATCCCTTGGACCAAAGCTATACCACATGGAGATTGCTTTGGGACATTATAAGAAATGGACGGTTCCTGATTCCCTTACCTCTGTGAAGTCTTACATGAAGGTGTGTTCAAGATGAGCCTACTATCTCACCATGCTTCATAGATTTAAGCAGGTTCCTGATCCCGTTTATGATCATTTGTCAATTCTGTGGATGACCTTCGGTTATCTTCTCTTGAAAATACAATACTACACTGGCACCCCCAGAACTTCACTGTCAGAGAGACTGAAACATTATTCATCTAATTCTCTTTTACCACAAAACTCCGTTTTCAAACCTTGAACGATATGACTGGCTACTTCAATATCCATATTTTCTCTGATGGATGCCAGGACCAGATTAATTCCATGGCTATCATGTCCATAAGAATGCTTTGTGGTTGAGAAAGCTTTTTAACAAGGACAAATATCTGAAATTGGAATTTTTTCGCTGCTCTAACCTCTTCTCCACTTAAGACGCTCCAATCTGATACTTGCTGTAATCCAAATTTGAGTATCATACTCGTGAAATATTTCTGCTTAAATTGAATGATGTCTACTAATTTCCAGCTGTTAATTTTCACCGACAGTTGAAAGACTTGAATTGTTATGCTGGGCTTTGATACTTTAGCCTACCTCTAACAATGCTGAACATGCATGCAGGCTATTTTCTCAAGGGATTCGTTCATCAAAACACGTGCACAACCGCAGGATGTCATTGAAGGTTGGCGTCCAAAAGTTGAGGGCTGAAATCTGCTGATGCTGTTCCATCATCTTTATGAGGGTCTCTGGTCTTTACCTGATTCTACCGGACCACGCACACTATCAATCCTCACAGAGCTCAATATTCATTTCATTTTGTCGTATGATTTTGATCCTCCACGTTAGGCTATTGTTAAATATGTATACAATTTTAAAAATATTAGGCTAGAAAGTGAGGTGTGTTTTGGGAAAAATGGATAACATATCCCCAGAGCGGAATCTGAGTTGCATCCTTGATTTCCCCTAACCAGAAGCAGCAGGCGAACTGCATAAGAAATCAGATTTATGTAGTCGTTAAAAATGTAAGAAATGCCTATGTACTTTGTTGGTAGGAATTGTTAACATTTCAGCAAATTTGATGTTTTATGCCAACCACCTCCATTCAGTACAACATCAATGTCCTATCAAAGAATCAAAATCATAGAACAACTGACTCTGTTTGTGCAGCTAACAGGTGCGCATGCCGTGATAGACTAAGCAAATTCACACCTCAACCAGAAGGAACATGCTATTTCTGTCTATTGAGAAAGTATTTAGCTAAGTGATACAAAGGAGCAGCCTTTCCAGCATCAAAATAAGAGAGTTCAACTAAAGCCTTATCCAATAGCTCATTAGCAAACTTAGCCCCATTCAAACCCATCAGTTTTGGATACGTAGCCTTATCACTAATCAGATCCTTCCCTGCAGTTTTTCCTAACTCCTCAGAAGATTTGGTCACTCCCAAATCCCAATATATCATCCACCACCTGATACGTTAACCCTACACACCTCCCATAATTCCTCAATCTCTCCACCTCAGTCTCATTCCCTCCTCCCATTATTGACCCACACACAGCCGTAGCTTCGACTAACTTGGCTGTCTTGTGGGTATGAATGTACTCCAATTCACTCAAAGTAACCATTTTCCCCTCACTATTTAAGTCAAGAAACTGCCCTCCAGATAGCCCTTTTGATCCCGCTGCCGAACCAAGCTCAGAAATAGCTTGTAGGACTCGCCTGGGTGGAACTTCTGCGGTGGTCTTATCTGCTATGTGTTGGAAAGCAAGACAGATCAGGGAGTCGCCGCATAGGATCGAGGTGTCTTCGCCAAAAACCTTATGGTTCGCCGGCATGCCTCGCCGGATTTCATCGTTGTCCATACAGGGAAGGTCATCTTGGATCATTGAAACAGTCTTGATCATTTCAATGGCACAAGCCATGGGCATGACGAAGGATTCGTCTCCTCCCACAAGCTCACATGAAGCAATACATAAAATGGGACAAACTCTCTTGCCTTCTGAGAGAAGAGAGTACCTCATAGCCTCAGTGAGTTTTGTTGGATGGTGCAGAGGCACTGCCTCATCTAGTGCTTTGTTTACCATTTTGATCTTGGTCGCCACGTACTCCTGGAACTTGAAGTTAGAGACATGGCTAGCTGTGACCTTCATGTTTGTTGAAAATGGTTTGCAGAATCCGGATTTGATGTGCATTTTGCTTGTTTTGAAACCATTAAGGAGGTGGTAAAGAGAAGATGGCCTCGTGGACGCAATACATTGGAATCCTGAAGCACCACCACGAACGCTACCGTGCACTCGTCTGCGGTGCGGTACGGCACCACCCAGTTGTGCCAGCAGCCAACTCCGGCGTGTCAGCTTAGTTATCCTCATCAACCCACCGCCAATTAAGACAAGGCAGATCTTTCTGTGTCGGCCGCCAAGCACGCAGAAAACCCTCGTTTTTAGCTTCCCAAGCGGGAAGCTGTGATTGGACAAAAATGCACGTGACTGCACGTCGGTAAGGGTGCACGTCGGTGCCAGCTTAAGGATGTTTAATTATTTATTCAGCACTAATTAATCAGTAGCTTCATCAGTATTTTTTATAATTAAAAAACAATAGAATCATATATGATGAGGCCTATATCTTTTATAGTTTTATTGAAGGACACGAGAAAAGTTCAAAAGATGTTTTATTCATAAAATAAAATATTAACATCTCTTATCACCGGAAAAAAATTACTATCTCCAATGCTAAATATAAAATTTATTTTGTAATGTAAATTATATTATGAAGTAAATCTAAAAAGGATTAGATGTAGTATTATTGTATGCATTATTATTATCTTTTGTGGAGTTCTATTTAGATTTAAAAACTGTTTTGTTGGATGGGAGTTAAGCCATGAGTGGGTTAAAAGTTAAAAACCAAAATTGGACTGAAAAATAAAGTGGTTTTTAGACGTGATGAATGCTAAAAATTATAAAGAAACGTATAAAAATAAAAAAGTCCCAAATATTTTTGCCGGCCGTAAAAAAACGCCCAATATATTTTCCAATTATTTGTAGACATATGATGATATTCATTGAAAACTTTAAATACAATTAAACTTAGCATAGATTTATTTCTTATATGGTATTACGTCTGATCTTAATTATAAGATTTTGTTTATAGTATAGATTTATTTCTTATATGTTATTAACTCAAGTTTTAATTATAAAACCTCGTTTATAGTCTATAAATTGAGGTCTTATAACTAAGATAGGAGGTAGTATTATGTATGTATTCCTCTGATTCCATTTATAGGGCAAAGAGAGAAGATTTTTTTATCCTATTTATAAGTCATTTCATTAAAATTTTATTGTAAATGTACTATTTTGTCCTTTATTTATTATGGTGTAGGTAATTATCTTTTTTGAAAGGTGTATATATTAAATATGGGTAAAGTTGAAAATTTGTAATATTTTAATGAAGAGTTAATGCATTTTAAGATTTTTCTTGGTCTGTGTGAAATATACTGAAAGCACCTTATAAATAGAACCAGAGAAGTACATACTTATTGTTTAATTAAAAAAAAACTATTTAATTACTATGCTATTGGCACGCCGGTCAACCCGATTGGGCCATGAAAACTGTAAATCATTACTCTTTTTGATAGAACAACCATCCTGATATGAATATAATAATATTTTCGTAAATGTTCACACACAAACACACACACATATATATCTCATTGTCTCAGGTATATCTCATTATCACTATATCCTATAATTGTTTCTTATTGTTATGCAATATGTAAATTTTATCAAAAATGTAAAATTGTGCCTATAAATAGAAACTATGCATAATGTATTCAGCACTTAAATGAAATGAAAAATACTCCTGTCTTCTATTTTATTCTCCCTTATTCTCCACTCTTTCGTTAGTTTTATAACACATTCGACTTTTAATATTATATATATAAATACATATAAATACACATAATTCTTAGAAAAGTAGTAAAACCTCTCAACATCTCAACCTATTGTTGGAATAACATTTTTTTTTTTGGGTATAATTCAAAGTATCCTGAAACTACTTTAGACTTGAGAGTTAAGACTAACCTTTGTCAGGCCATGAGTGTTAAGGTTAACTGTTAAAGTTCTTTCAACAAGTACATCTTTTAAGATTCGAACTTGTGTTCTCCTCCTTACAGAAATGAAACTGCTTACCATCTTAACCAATAGTTTGCTAGGGGAATAATATAATTCTTTACTTGACAAATATAAGCACCTCGAGTTTGTTCTAAGGGGTGTTTGGTTTAATTTCTTAAGAGTAATTTTATGGTATTCGAGATAAATGTGTGAGAAAAATTTTATTTCAATTTGTGTAAAAATGTTTTTTTAAAAAAAGAAAACACCCTAAATAAGAAAATTATCATGTTTGATAAGAATTAAAGTACGGAGCATAGATTGAGACTATCAGTGGGAAAGACACTTATGGCCCAACCAACTCCGCCAATGTTGCATGATTTAGCGGGCTAACAAGTGTTTCACAAATTGCAGTGTGTGTATCTACTAAGAGCATCATATGGACTATCGGGAGTTGGATTTAATGAAAAGAATTAATTTCTCGCAACGTGATAAATTAAGACTTAAATTCTTATCAGAAAAGGTATCTATATTTAATGTCCGATAGTGTTTTAAATAAGATTGGCTCTAATAGGAAGATATTTATATGTAGCTCAAAAAAAAAAAAAAAAGAGCATCAGATAGTATTAACATGTTCAACAACCAAAAGCAGTAATTTTGGCAGATTCAACCTCTAAACATAAAGATGGTTTGATGAATTGCTTAAATTATCCTTCTACCCATGTTAAGCACTTCTCTCCTACAAATCCTCCATTCAAATTAATACAATTACTTGTATAGTGCCAACCCAGAATAAATTGAATCGCAATAAGCTCCATCCAGCAAAGGTAACCTTAGAAGTCTGACATTGTGCTGATTGAACTCTCCGGCTAACTCGCTCTCTAGGTGGATCAAATGGGTTTATACATAAAACACACTAGGCAAATGTGTTCTACGAAAAACCCACTCTTTAGTTCACGACAAAAAGAGAACACTCTTTAGATATATCATCTATCAAAAGGTCCACTAATAACTTGAGTTTTTTTAGTCTTCCTCTACTTTTCTTCACAAGACTCAACATTGTTTGTTCAAGCCTTCTAATTGGTGCCTTCTTCAGCCTTCTTTGTATAAGTTCAAATCATCTTAAATGATTTTCTACCAACTCCTCGATTAAATTGACAGCCAGAAACAGTTTCAATTTCAAAGGAATTCTAAGTTAAAAATGATAATTTCCTAGGGAAGTCCGGAACATCAGTGATCAGTCCAAAACAGTAAGAAGTAATTGGCTCTGAAAAAGTTTAACTGCACTACTTGTTCGCATTAGCACAATTTCTACGCTTACAATCCAAAAGAAGCCATTTCATTTTGAAAGTGAAGAGCTCTTTTTCTATCACCATTCTGCCGGTAGCTACCAATTAGTGTCTGATATGCAGCTGCACTGGGGGCTAGCGAGCGGCTTTTCATAATCCTCAGATACTTCTCTGCAGCTTCCAAATTTCCATTACGACAGAAGCTCAGTATCAATGACGTGAAAACAGATGATCCAGGAGACAGAGATTTGTACTCCATTTCATAATATAGCTTCAGAGCTTCCTGAATCTCATCCTTTTTAGCATAACCGTCTATCAAAAGAGAGTATGTTAAATCACTGGGAACGAACCCTTTATCTAACAAGGTTGTCAACATGGCATTCGCCTGTGCCACATCCCCTCTTTCACAGAGCTTTTCTACCATCTTATTGAATGCCAAACAACTGGGAATAAGCCCAGCTCTCAACATTTGCTTATAGTTACTCAAGCACTTATCCAACCACCCTGTTCCAGCGCATCCCTTGATAAGATGATCAAAAGTCTCACCATATGGCTTCAAGCCTACTTTTTCCATAACTTGGACTAAAATTTCTGCTTCTTCAATTCTGCCCTCTTCACAGTACGCGCCTATGAATGATGTGTAAAGGAAACTATTTGCTTGGAAACCTCTGGTGATCATCTCTTCATATGCCTGCCATGCTGAATCCAAATCTCCCATCTTAACTTTGGTGTAAACAGTTAAAGAGTAAGCAACTGAATCAGCAATCATGTTCTTTTGCAACAGTCTCTTCAACATTACCATGCTTTCTTCAATTCTTCCCTCTTCTAAAACCCTGAAAATTAAGTACGCATTGACAATCACTGAAGGATAGCTTCTCTTCCCCATTATGTGATCCAATGTCCTTGCAATTTTCTCCAATTGTCCTTCCTTGCACAAAGCATTAATCATGATACGGAAAGTAACATCATTTGGGTAAGTTCTTTTTTGAATCATATGCTCATAAATATCCCAAAGAAGACTACAATGATCAGATTTCTGAACAACATGAAGTAAAGTATTGAAACTTATGAGACTGACAGAGAACCCATGTTCTTCTACATAGAGGCATATGTCAAAAGCTATGACAGACATTCTCAATTTTGCATAAGCCTGTATTAGCAAATCAAACACCAAAGGATGAGAAGCACAAACCTTATAGCTGTCAAGCAGTGAATCCACAATTAAAAACCCCCAAGAACTTTCCTTGTTTTGCTTCAGAAGTGATTCAAGTAGTGCTCGAGCATCCATGAGCAATTTGGCTCTGACCAGAATATGGATTGCTAAACAGTAAGATCGAACCCCATGCTCAATGTTCTTCTTCTTTGTTGACCAATGAAAAAAGCCCAATGCACTTCTGGCATCATGTGGTTCTTTCAACTCGATCAGCACTCTCTCCACAGTTGCACCATTCAATTCAAAAGAATCAAACTTTCTGCTTATGATATCCCAACTCCAACCTCTTCTAAATGAATTACAAATCGCAGTAACATCATCTTCCGACGTTGCCTCTACATGTATCAGCTGGGCCAATAGGAAATGCAATTGAGGACAGGAGAAACGAATTCCGAAGAGTTTGAAGGGTTTGAATCTCAAAGATGCAGAAATATGGTGCATCAGAGGCATGCTTCTACGTCCAGAAACAGAAGAAAAGCCGCCCCTTTTCCTTCGTTTTCATGCATTGTTTTAGCTTCCAAGAAAATATGAATCAAAATTGCCAGTAAAAGCGTGATATTTCCATAATCCACAGCAGCGACTACTTGCTAAAGCCATTTTCTGCGATATCATTTCAATAAATTCCGACGCATACATATGAAGTACATAAGGAAAAACTGGGCATGAACAATCGATAAGACATTACAATTCGGGTATTTGATGAAGCTAGGATTCGACGCAAAGAGCTCCCCAAACCGAAGGGAGATAGAGAGAAACCAAATTGCTAAGTCCTCAGTCCTGACCAAGCCTTGCCTGTTGTTTCCCGTGGAGTAATGCTGCGAAGGGGAAGAAATTAATCTCGGATTCCACCTCTCAGTTGCCACATACCGCGAAACAAATGGGCTGCCGGGAATGGTATAATTTTTTTTTTTTGGGAGTTAAGTTTACACTGTATTACTACCTTCGAACCTAATTATAAAAACCAGTTGACTAATTTAAGGAGATTAAAAAAGTAAGTTGAGTTAGTTATTTGTCCTGTGTTGTCTTTCCTAAAATATCCTTGTTAATCAAGTGTAGTGATTAGAACTATCATTGTTAGAATGACTACTTTGAAAAAAATATATATAAATATGAGAGACAAAGTAGATTGGGGTTTTATATTTAAAACTAAAATAAAAGTTAAGCAAGATCTTATATTAAGAACCAGAGGTAATATTATAATTGGCATAAAAATATTAAGGGCAAATATAAATTTTGGTCCTCAAAATTTGGACTCATTTTAATCCCTTAAATTTTAAACATATAGTTTTAGTTCCTAAAATTTAGTATATCTTTAAAATGTTAGCTCATGAAGGTATAATAATGTTAAAATCTACTAAAGTGTCATAAGTAACATTAAAGTGGTGATATTGGCTCACCAGATAATGTCTAGCTAGATCTTGTATGAATGATAAATTATATAAAAGGGATGAGTTTTCAAAACATAATACAGCAAATAGCTCCTCAAATGAAAAATGAGAGAAAAAAAGAGCTAAACAGCTATATTTTGAGATTTTTTTTTTTTACATCTTTATCCACATAAAATTTAATTAGATGTTGTTAGATGAATTCATATCACCATCTTGACACTATTTATAACATTTTAGTAGATTTTAATACTAATACACTTACAAGGACTAATATTTTAAGATGAACTAAATTTTATAAACTAAAATTATGAGTTTGAAATTTAAGGAACCAAAATAAAAATGGGCTCACATTTAAAAAAATATATATTTACCCAAATATTAAAAATACGAAAACTTCTTACTAATTTTGTACATAACTGTCATTTTATTTGAAAGGATTATTATTTAAAAGAACAAGAATATGCAATTTTTTTAATTCAATATTTTGAAAACTTCTAACTAATTGAATTGAATTGATAATATTTTAAAAAAATTTATAAAATAAGTTTTATATGAAGAATCAGAGCGGTAATATGTTTTTTAGTTAAATTGGTTGATTTCTCTAAAGTTAAATAGGATTATTTCAACTTTGAAATTTGAAACTGAATAGATTTCTGTACCCAAACGGCTAAAATATTTTCACATTTATGCTACTTATCGTTCAAGAATATGCAGAGATTAGTAAAATTGATTTTGGCAAAACAAGATAACACATTTTTGAATATCAAACTATGGTAAATACCAAACATTTTAAGAAAACTAAAGTTTGGCCCAAAATCATAATTTTAGATTGTAAAACTATGATTTCAGAAGAAATAAAAAAATGTTCACTTTTGGATAGACGTCAATCAATTACAAACTTTGAAAGATGTGTATATTTGCATTGGCTTCTTTCTTCCTTTTACAATCCTAACAAAACTTACCCAGATATTTTCATATTTTCCTATTATGTTTAATAAAATATATAATAAATTTATGACTTCAGCTGTAAATTTAATCAAATTATTTATGTTTGATATTTACATCATATCATTATTAGAAAAAATATTAGGAAAATTCATAAATATGTAATAAGAGTATTATTTTTTTTAAAAAAATTTAATTTTATATTTTATATACACACTAATTATTAATTAATCATAAAATTAATAAATTTCTCTTACATATGTTTATTCAAATTTTCAAAAATATTATTAAATTTTATGTTTAAAATCTTTAAGGTAAAACAATCATTTTTCTAAAAATGCATTTAATCTTATATTTTATAAATATATATACACATATTAATTATTAATTATTTATATTTTTATTATATTATTTATTATATTGGAAAAAACTATTATTAAAAAATTTATTATTTCAAATAAAAATATAAATCAAAATTTATTCTTTATATAATTATCATATTAACTTATATCTTTCTTAGTAATTTGCACATTAAAAAATTAATTCTAATAACAACTACGCAAATATTATCACTTTATCAAATCATTTTTAACAAAATTTATTTTTCAAAATTTATTCTCAAAATAACTTTTTTCTCAAAAATTATAATCCAAACTATAATTTGGTTTATCTAAACACTCCCTAAGTCAATTGTTTGTAGAAAATAGGTGCTAGTTTCTCCAAAATATTTATTTCATTTATATTAAAAATTACTCCAGTAATAAAAGTTTTCTTTAATATGTGTAATAATAGAGCATTGGCCAAAAAAAAAAGTGTAATCATAGAGATATCACGCAAGGGAATAGATTACATACAAGGAAACACAAACTCCATAAGAATTATTTGCCATTTAATTTCTTAAGAAGAAATTTATCCCAAAATTTTCCTATTACGTAGTTGTTTTTACATTTTATAATATCGTTGTGAATCTTGTTCACAGAATTATTATTTAAATATTTTAATATTTTACGATATCTTTGTCTCGTCATATTTTCATGATACATTCCGTCATCCATCGCATTAGATTATTTTTAGAAGCTGTTGCCTGTTGGCATAAAATGATTACGCTTATTTTTCAGAAGCTACACAATGTAACTTCTTAAAATAATTAGAACTTTGGTTTTTTTTAATTATGCTTATTTTTATTGAGTTTAAACAAAAATAATAAGGTTTAATAAAATATTTTCCTTTGAAAAAAGTGATTATTTTCATTCAAAACTAAATAAATGGGCCAAATTCTGATTCATTATCCCAAATTGTTTCCAAACTTATCGAAGCCTTAGATTTTTGTGCTGTGGGTACTGATTGTAACTATTCTCTTAGGGCATCATGCATAGAGATTGACAAGCTTTGTTGCTTTATAGTTCTAGAGAGAATCTATTGATTATCTTGCAAAAGCCTCCTATAACATAGAAGCTAATTTTTGTATTAAAACTCCTCTCACGTACTTATCTCATATTTTATAAATCACCATTAAAAAACTACTTATTAATTTTTCATATTTATCAATTTTTCTTAAATTACTCCTATTGATACTTTCTCAACCATAATCAAGTAAGTGAAGGAGGAAAGATATTAAGAAAGATAATTATGATGTTTTAGGAAAAATATGTTATATTTCTTATAATTAACTAACTTACCCAACCTTCTTAATTTAATCAAATTAGTTAAAAAGGTTTTATATTAAAGATTGGAATAATATATTTCTAATGTATTTATTGTTTTAAACTAATTGTTCGTTATTCATGAATTAATTATTTGAAGTCAAATATAAAAAATCAAGCGGCTCATTGATTATGGGCCTCCCATTACCATCCATCAATGCTCCTCATTAATGTGAAATATAAACCTATATGCAGATCCCCGGGAAGAAATTGACAAAGTTGTCGTAACTTTGCCGGTAAAAAAAAAAAAAAAAAACAATTGTCTTAACTTTATGAAGTTTTAATTTAATTGCGGGGACTTGTAATCCAGCCAATATCAAATTCTTCTCTCCTTCTGACTCGCATACTTCCTGCTACTATGTTTACCATATAAGTTATTTTAATAATTTAATCAGTTTATTAATATAAAAAATTGCTAATTATTTTTTTAAATGTATTTCAAATTGAGAATTTTTTCCAATTTATTCATATTAAATGAGGTTGTGAAAGAGAAAAAAAATTTACTGCATTTAAGCGAAATTTTGGCCCAGACCAATCTCCTAGAAGTGACCTATTGTGGGCGGGAGGGAATATATGCGTTGAAACTCATAACTTAAAAAGTTTGTTTGATACTATTGGATTATAGAATTTGACATAACTTATTTTTTGATTTAGTACAAATGTACAATTTATACACACAAATACCCAAACATGTTATTAGTGATGTCAATCGAACTCAGCATCTTATCCAAATGTAGTGAGTGACATTGTTGCTGAGACAAGTGACAACTAACTGGTAGCTGAGTAGCATAACTTATTTTAAAAGTCAAAAAGAATAATTTACAGTAAACCAGCTACTCCTCGTCCGATCTTAAATATAAGACTCTTTCATAGTATAATTTATATTAGGAAAAGAGTTTTATATTCAGGACTGAAAAAACATCATATAAACAGTGGCTTAAAATAATCTGACTTGCATCCATCACGTATTTCTATTTTCACGCGCACTATTTTTTTGATAGGGCACGCTTTTGTGCCACCACACCACAAAGGTGTTGGCTAATGCACTATATTGTACTACTAATAAAATGCACAAAAACTGATGATTTTTTTTTCAAAAAAAAAAAGTATAGATCAAGATGTGAGGTCATTTGCATCATAATTTGGATACTATGCCAAGGAAGAGCAGATGAAAAAAAAAATGTATTTAGGTTCTAAATAAAAGAAATCATTAACAACTAAGCCAAAAAAATGGGCATAAATGTCATTACATAAATGATATTAATAGTCTGTTTTGTTCACTGAACATGAATTCTGAAAAATTTAATGGAATTTTTTTTTACCAGGAAAAATTTAATGGAATTTAATGGCACATATTGTTCTTTTGTTCATAGGTTCATCCCTGCTCCTACACAGATTGTTACATATGTACAATGAATCTTGATTATTTTAGGTTGATTAAATTTATTTTTTTAAAAGATATTCTAAAAGTTAGATAATATCAATAAATAAATAATGACAATAATGAGTGATTTTTTTATACACATGAGTGGGTTTTTAATTGGCTCTAAAAATTGCATACACATGTTTTTCATTATATTAGAATAA